CAAGCAGGCTCTGCTCTATCAGCACAGAGCCTGACACAAGGCTCAAAACTCACAAACAGTGAGATCATGACCTGAGCTGAAATTAAGAGTCAGACACTTAATTGATTGAGCCACCTAGACATCCCCGTTTTTGTTTTGTTTGAGTAAATGTCTAGGTCCCACCCCAGACCTGACATTTCAGACATTCCAGGGATAGATGTACATATTTATTTATTTATTTATTTAGAGAGTATGAGCAGGGGAAGGGCAGAGAGAGAGAGAATCCCAAGCAGGCTCCATACTGTCAGCACAGAGCTCAATGCAGGGCTTGAACTCATGAACCAGAAGATTACGACCTGTGCCAAACTCAAGAGTTGGACACTTAACCGAGTGAGCCACACCCAGGCGCCCCTAGATCTACATTTTTGAAAGCTCCCTTGGTGACACTGAAGATGAGCTGGGTTTAGGACCACTGCAGGCCCTTGTGGGACACATGAGAAGGGGTGGCCCAGAGAGGTGGAGTGACTTTCTCCAGGGCAAGGGGCATCAGGTCAGCAGCAGAGTCTCACCAGGCCTTGACTCCCTTTATGCATTCTGACTTTCACCAAGTTCTTCTCTTGTCTGTTCTGTTGCTCGTTATGAGTTGTGTGTACAGGATGGAAAATGCCAGAGTTCGGATAGGTCGGAGGAAGAAACTAGGCCCCATAACCGAGCCCTAAGAGATCATCACTGATGGCATGACCTGCTGATGTCTTTTCCACAGCACACACATTTCCTCAAACACCAGACCTGCTGTACGCGCTGTTCTCAAACAGCCGTCCGCTTCCACCTTTACATTCCAGCACCAGGCAGCTGGGCCTGCCCCTCCTGCTGCCTTCCTCCCCACCTCTCCCTTCCTCACCCCACGCCAGATAGCCCTTGCCTAACCTGCATTCCTCCCTCTCAATCATCTCTGTGAACAGTGCCCCCTGCCTTGTGCAGCCAGGCACTGCCCATGATGCTGGAACAGCCTGGCCTGGGATACTGGGGGATCTGAGCTCCTGTCCCCACTCTGGGAAGTAACGGGGTGGACAGCAGGCAGGGGTTCTGAGGCCAGCCAGACCCAGGTCTGATTCTAGCTTGATCACTTCTCTATAATATGGGGATAATATATACCAGATGGGGTTGTTGGGGGAATTAAGTGAGATCATCATATATCAGAGAGGATAGCAGCATGCCTGGAACAGTAGCTCTTCAGTAAATAGTAGCTTTTTCCATTCTTTCTTTGTCTGACTGTCTTGCAGATCTTGACATCTATTTGGCTTCCCTGAGCCTATGTCCCTATCTGTAAAAGGAAACCATAGTTAGGTGTTTTCTAAGAATCTTTCCTGTTGGGTGACCCTCACTTCCTGTTTTGTGCCCTCTCTTGTCAAGCCTTTTCCTTGTCAGCCCATCTCCTCCAGAAAACCCTCCAAGCATGCCAAGAGACGAATCTATTTCCCACCAGCTCCCCTCTCACCTCCCCACAGAGAAGACACACTGCAGGCTGTAGAGCTGAGGGTTTGTTCTGGATCTTTCTGGAATGGTGGCTGCTTTCCCAGCCAGTAAACAGAGTCACCCTGGGGTCTGGGTTTGTCTTGATGCAGGATGGGTTTCCTGACTTCTAGGGGTCACAGTTGATATCCAGCTTCGCCCAGTAGAGGAAAGATGTGTTGATAACTTGGTTATCAAGGCCGGCTTGTCCCACCTTTGGCCTCACCCTTGTTGACTGAAGCCAAATGGAACTGTGCTTTTCTTTGTGTTCCTTCCCTGGGTTGGACCAGGTGGCAGCTGACCTAAGGCACCAGGGTCTGGGTGGGTGGGCCTCTCCCTAGGATCAGAGGATCCCCTCAGCCTCCTGGGATCTCTCACCTCTGTCCTGGTCCCCTAGGCATCTTCTGCTGCGGCCCCTGCTCTGTGGAGTCCATCAAGAATGGCCTGGTATACATGAAATACGACACGCCCTTCATTTTTGCTGAGGTGAGGACTGTGTTCCAGGTGCCTTCTTGGGTGGTCTGGAGAGACCAGAGCACAAGTGTCAGGCCTCGGTTCTCTGGTCCTGACTTCACCGCTGACTGAGTAGCTGTGTGACCTTGGGAAAGTCACTCATTTAGAGTCTAGGTTTCCTCATCTGTAAAAGGGTGATAATAATGGCCGCTGTGCTTCCTGTACTCAGGATCAAAAGAAATAATGGGTATGAATCTGCTTTATAAGTCATAAAGTCCGTGAATGAGCATAAGGGATTACTGTTATTAATGCCAAAATGCACTGCAAGGAGCCTCCCAACTTCTTCCCTTCTCTCTGGCCTCATCTGGCTCAGCTTGGAAAGTCTCCCAGGTTGGCTGTGCCAGGAAGTTCCTAACCCTTGGATCCAGCCCTCCCTGCAGCTCCTAGGTTCAGGGGAAGGCAGTGGGTGGAGGGGGGGGGGAGTGGTGGGGGGAGGGGGGAGCAGGGGGTCAGGCCCAGCCTCAGACCCTCTGGTTATCTCATTCTTGGCTCACACCCCCCACAATCCCCCAACAGGTCAACAGTGACAAAGTTTACTGGCAGCGACAGGATGATGGCAGCTTTAAGATCGTGTATGTGGAAGAGAAGGCCATTGGTACGCTCATCATAACAAAGGCCATTGGATCCAACATGCGAGATGATGTCACCCACATTTATAAACACCCAGAAGGTACCGTTCCCTGAACCTGGCCAGCTCTGGCCCACACCAAGGGTTCCCACTGAGCACTTGCCCGCTCCGTCAGTGGCTGTAACCTCACCCTTACCCTCAACCCCCAGGCTCAGAAGCAGAGCGGAAGGCAGTGGAGACAGCAGCCGCCCACGGCAGCAAACCCAACGTGTACTCCACGCGTGACTCAGCAGAGGATGTGGCGATGCAGGTGGAGGCACAGGACGCGGTGATGGGGCAGGACCTGACCGTCTGCGTGGTGCTGACCAATCGCAGCAGCAGCCGCCGCACCGTGAAGCTGCACCTCTACCTCTCGGTCACCTTCTACACCGGTGTCACCGGGTCTGTCTTCAAGGAGAGCAAGAAAGAAGTGGTGCTGGCGCCAGGGGCCTGTGAGTGCTCCTTTCCCACCCTGCCCCGCTGATGGCCAGGCACCCCGGGCTATGGACATGGAGGCCCCAGGAGGCCGTGTCTGGGCGAGCGGGCCTAGGTGACACCTTGCCTCTTCCCCCAGCGGACCGCGTGTCCATGCCTGTGGCCTACAAGGAATACCGGCCCCACCTCGTAGATCAGGGGTCCATGCTGCTCAATGTCTCGGGCCACGTCAAGGAGAACGGGCAGGTGCTGGCCAAGCAGCACACCTTCCGTCTGCGCACCCCTGACCTTTCCCTCACCGTGAGTGCAGCCTGCTGGGCTGGGCACGAGGGACGCCCTGGGGCTAAGGGAAGTCGGAGGGGGAGGGGAGAGGACGCTAAGCCTGGCCACCAGTTCCGGAGAAGGTCAGGGACTGGCTGTGGGCTCTTGGGCCCCAATGTCCTCCCCTGTAAAATCAGATCTCCTATTCCCGATCCTGCAGATGCTTCAGTGGGGGAGTGGGTGGGAGTTTCTTCTCTGGCATCCGCAGAGCCCCATTCTTCTCCGGGGTGCCCATGTGGGACTTGGGGGGAGGTTTTGATTCTGGAATTTTCCCCTCTCTGGTGGAGTGTATGATTCCCTTGTATTTGGCCAGGGTCTCTGATGCGGAGGGGGGTGTCTCTTTTTCTCTTAGTTGTTGGGGGCAGCCGTGGTTGGTCAGGAGTGCGAAGTACAGATTGTCTTCAAGAACCCGCTGCCTATAACCCTCACCAATGTCGTCTTCCGGCTTGAGGGCTCCGGGCTACAGAGACCCAAGATCCTCAATGTGGGGTGAGTCTGGCCTCTCCCCGCCCCCACCCCTGCCCTTTTCTGCTCTCCCAGACTGCCAGGGGTCCCACATTGCTTCCTGTCTTGGGTCAGGACAGTAGTCGGTCAGGACCCAACACAGCAGCCTGGAGCCAGCCAGCAAGGCCTTCTAACTTAGTTCAGTGGGAGCAGCATTTAAGACCCGCCATGTGCCTAGTGCGGGGCCTGTCCTTCCTCACTGTCCCGCTGCGGAACCAACACTTCACCTAGGAATCCGTAGCAGCTCATCACTAACATGCGCCCGCCACTCAGGAATTGACCAGGCACTTCAGGATTATTATCCAATTTGCAGACCACAAAAAACCCTTTAAAGTACATTAGAGAGCATCGTATGATTAAAAGCAAAGCTTTGGGATCCTGAAAACTTAGGCTCAAGTCTCAGCTCCAACATTCACTAGCTATGTGCCCTTGGGCAAGTGACTTATCTCCTTTAAGCCTGTTTTCTCAGCTGGAAAGTGGGGATAGCAACCGTCCCTGGCTCCAAGGGTGGTTGTGAGAATTCGGTGAGCTATGCACATAAAGCATCTGGTGTTGGGCTTGGCACAACGTGAGCCTCTGTTGGTAGTTCTTACTTTGATTATTGCTACCGTCACCTCCGCTTTATGACAGGGAAGCTGGTGGCCGTGTCTCATGAGGTCTCCCAGCCCGTAAGGGGCAGACTCTGCTCTTCCCACCATGGCCCACCCAACACGCAGGCTCTCAGGCCTGTGGCTTCGTTTGTGCCAGGAGGGTTCGAGCAGCGGTTCCCAAGGAGAGGGCCCTGTCCCGTAGGTCCTCTGCCAGCCCACCTGGGCCTCACCCCGGGCTCAGAGAGGCTCTGCACCCAGGGAGGGCACACCCAGCGCTTGTGTGCCTAGGCCTGGGCTGTCATCTCTGACACAGAGCCACACATGCTGCTGTGACCCTCCCTGGAATAGCACAGAGGGAAAGCAGAGAAGGCCAGAGGCTGGCTGACCTTTAAGATCAGACTTCTGGTGACGGGGGCAGGTGTTTTCCTCTTTTGACAAAGAGTGCCTGAGGGAAAGGGATGGCCCCTGTGGAGGGGTTGGGTGGGGGAAGCAGAGGGTCCCTGCCCGCCCTGCCTCTTCCTTCCCCGGACATATAGCAGGCTCCGCCCGGTGGTGGCCCCCGCTTTTGCCAATAGGTCAAAGCTGAAAGGTTGCTATCCTGAGCCTTGCCCCACCTTGACCCTGCGTGACGTGATATGCCACAAAGGAGTGCCTTCCCCATTTCACCTTGCGAGAGTGTCCGGCAGCTTAGACTGTGCACCTTGGGGCTCCCAGTGAGCTCACTCTGTGGCCATCTCTCACCTGCAGATGACGAGGGTTTCCCCTGTTCAGAGGGCTCCCCAGAGCTGGACTGTCCTCAGCAACTCCACCACATCTTTGATTCTTGCCCCTGCCTGGGAGTAAAAAGAGGACCCCTGTGCTGAGCATGGGGAGATCCAGCCCCGCTCTGTAGCTGTGGGGCTTGTGTGACACCCCACCCCCCACCTTAAAGGCCCTAGTCTTCTCTCCAGTAAATGAGAAGGTTGGATGATGGTTTCTCAAGGGAGGTCCTCCTTAGACATTCTGTGGCTCTTCACTGCTGCAAGCCCAGGCGGGGGTCTACAGAGCAATTGAGAAGGGGGAAGTCCCTGGGCTGTTGGTTCAGATATATTAGATTCCAAGACAGATATTACTTTGCTCTCGTTTGCACATCAAAGGCTGTGGTATGGAAACCCCATTAAGCATAGGTGTGCCACCCAGTGGGGTGACTGGCCACTTAATAAACATTACAAACTTACTCCTCCAGATGGCTGTTGTCACTCACCGCCAAGCCAGTCACCAGGGGAGGCTGAAGTCTATTCCAAACCCTTCTGGGGAATTTGCTCCACAGCCTGAATCATATTCTCTAGAATGTCCTTAAGGGTGGCCTTCTGGGGTAGACTTGACTTTGGAGAAACAGCCTGAAGCCATTCAAAGCTAAGACTAATTAAGAAGGTAGGTGGAAAAGGTGGGTAGTGTGCCCTTTTCCATCAGAAATGAGGTTCGGCTGTGAGGGAGGAACAGGGTGCACCCGGCGCGTGTCAGGGAGAGGGAGAGAGAGACAGACGTGGTGTACGTGTGGTTTTCCGTGGCTCTGAAGACAAATCTGAGAGGAGTTTTTAAATTCGTTTCAAGGCTTGATAACGTGATTGAACCAATCCATAAGTGAAGCACGATGCTCATTTGGATGTCTAATTTCTGGTGTCCTTGTCAGAGAGCCGGTTTCATTACCTGCACTGTTTCAGGCCCATTCCAGCTGTAGCAGCTGATGCGCTCAACTTCAACCAGCAGACCTGGGTGTGTCAGGTCTTGCCTGACACTGAGGCCGGGGCTGGGAGAGATCTTGACATTCCTAGCTGGAAGCTGAAAAGCAATTTCTCTTAGAAATAACGTTTACAAGTAAAGGCTGTATTCCGATCTAGTACAGTTCAATTCTAGTATGAATTAAGTACAGTGTTGAAGGCTGACCTGAGCCGAAACAGCTTGAAGTTTGTATCTCTGGAAAAATGGGCATGAGTTAAAAATGCGAATTTGTAACCGGCCACAGTATAGCCTACCTGTTAAGTTATAGACTTAATGTCTAGTTATATATTATAATAAGTCTAGAAATTAGGTCTGTAACTTAATGGGGAGACCATCTATATCTCCCTGCCTTCCACTTATTCCCTCCTTTGTGGAGCTTAGAGTCACCTTCAAGGCCATCTGATTCCACCCCCTCATTTTATATTCATTCCCATTTTACAGACCAAAAAGTGAGAGTCAGAAGTTTAATAATTTGTCCTAAACCACACAGCTAACAGCGGTAGAAGAAAGAGTCCAGTGTGGTCCAGGGCAGCCCTTTGGAAGCAGGCTCCAAGCTAAATGTTTTGCCCCAAGGAGAGCCCATCTTTGAAGTTGGGGTGTTGGCTCTTTCCCTTAGAAGACTGAGATGTCTGCACAAAGTCCGGCTCCAGAGTGGATCCCCCAAGGCAGGCTTGGATTGAAGAGGGGGCCAGAGGCAAGGGTTCAGGCAGAGGCAGGAAAGGACAGATGCTAACAGGCACAAGCAGGTGTGATAGAAATGCAATTGTGTTCAGTGTATACAGTGCACAGGCCGATTACTGCAGGAGCTCAGAGCAGGACAAGGTTCACTTCCCTGAGGGCAGGAGGTGCTCAAGGGGTGGTGTGAGCTGGGCCTGGAGCCAGCCCAGGAGAAAAGCATGAAAACAGAGGTGAGTTCGGGGAGGGGAAGGAGCTCATTGTTGGGGCTGGTGGGCAGGAGGAATGGTGGGGGATGATGAGGCCTTGCAGGCGGGGCTGAGTCAGAGTGAGCCTGCGTGTCGGGTTAGGGAGCTGCCGTCTCATCCCAGAAGCACCGAGGAAGCCAAACCCTTGACGGATTCAGTTCACCTCCAAGTGACTAGAAACTAGAGTGGGAAAATAAGATAGGACATTAGGAGGCAAGGAGGCCAGTTGGAAGGCTAGTGAAATTGTGATTCCCAGAGGGAGGGTCTGGGACTAAATTTCCAGAGGTCCATGGAGAAGGGGGGAAATGAAGACACCATAGTATGTATGTGTACACATGTATCTCTCTCTCTCTCTCTCTCTCACACACACACACACACACACACACACACACACACACACTTGTCCCTTTAAAGATGCCAATTGTCTATTCTTGGGAAGGACTTTCCTTTTTCTCTGAGATAACATCTTTCCAGTGTTTGGAGGTATTAAAGATGCTCCTTCCTCTTTGGTAAGATGATTATATTGCAGAGGCTGATTAATTATCTTCCACTTTCTTTCTTGGCAAAACTGAAATTATTTGGCAACACTGCGTTGAGCCCCGAAGTCTCATTTTAAAGTTTCCTTGGTCCTGGAACCCCCAGATGAGATGGGGTGGCTGGTCTGGTTAGGGCGGGAGCATTGGCGATGGAGAGGTGGGGGACACAACATTCAGTCTTTGTCCAGGTGTTTGTGGGGGTGGGGAGGGAGGGATGGATCCCTGGATGACAGATGATGGGAAGATTTCCAGCTCAGGCAGCTCGGTGGGTGGCCACTGACCTGGCTATGCAGAGGCAAGGGCAAGGAGGCCTTGGGGCTCCGGCTTCGTCCTGGCCGCTGGTGTGGAGATTCCAGCTGAGTCCAGAAATGCCCAAAGGGCTCCACCTTCTGCTCCTTCCTTCCTGGCAGCCCCATCAGTCCTTCCTCCCCACTCTACCCCCAGTCACCCAGGTCCATGACTCTATCTTTGCCCATAGGGACATTGGGGGCAACGAGACAGTGACGCTGCACCAGAAGTTTGTGCCTGTGCGACCAGGCCCCCGCCAGCTCATCGCCAGCTTGGACAGCCCCCAGCTCTCCCAGGTGCATGGTGTCATCCAGGTGGACGTGGCTCCGGCCCCTGGGAGCGGAGGCTTCTTCTCAGATGCTGGAGGCGACAGTCACTCAGGGGAGACCATCCCTATGGCATCTCGAGGTGGAGCTTAACCCCTGGCCAGGAGCAATGGGACTGGAGTCAGAGGAGCAAGGACATTGCCTCGCAGGGACCCAGCGCAGAGCTGCTCTCCATAGGTTCAGGTGGGGAGGCCGGGGCACCTGGGAAGGGGGCCGCTCTTCAGTTGCACTGGGCAGCACAGATGCTAATAAACTGTTTTTTAATGAACCGTTTTTAATGAAACCGTTCTGTCCATCTACCAGTTCGTCTGTCCCTGCTGCCAGCGCAGCAGCTCTTGAGATAGGGCCTGCTTGGCGTCAGGACGACCTTGAACATTTGACTGGTCTTTCCCCACTCCAGGATGCTTCTAACTGACCAAAAACCCTTCTGAAGGCCCCCGGAGTGAGGCGGGACTGCCTCCCTTCCATGGCACCCACGGTGGGTGAGAAGGATCGAAGTGTCCTCTTGTAGGCACACGTTTGAGGTAGAACTAGGCTGGAGTCCTCTCTGAGCAGCAAAAACCACTTTCCAATATTTGTTTTCAAATGTGTTTGGCTAAGAATATTTATAAAAGCAACACATGTTCAATGTTGAGAATTCAGAAGACACGGAAAACTGTAAAGGAGAAAAGAACAATAAGCTTCAACTACCACCAGGTACAGAAAACAGACAGCCGTTAACATTGGGTTTCATATGCCGATCCCCCCTCACCCCCCACACGGTGTAACCTGTGGTGAGCATTTTCTCACAGCATTAAATAATCTTTGAAACCATCATGTTTACAGACTGGGCAGTAGTCTTGACTTCCAGGCCATCCTCCTGGTCCTCCTGAAGCCCCTGCTCAGCCTTGGGGTGTCAGAGTGACTCAGGCCTCCAGCCAGGCGCTCCCCCAACCAGCTACACTCTGCCTAGGTGAGTCCTGCCAGTCACGTGGTCTTAAGGACCACTGGCTCCCCAAATTGCATCTGTTTTCCTTGAACTTTAAACTCCCTTATCTATTGCCTTCTTAGCGCGTCTGCTGGAGACTCACAGATGCCCCCCATGTACTGTCTGAGATCAAACTCCTGACCTCCTCCAGCATATCCCACGGCCTCCCCATATCAGTAAATGGCAACTCCATCTTTCCAAGTTTCATGGGCCCCAAAGCATGAAGTCACTCTTGGCTTCTTTCCTTCTCTCATATCCCACTTCTGGTCTATCAGCCAGTCTTTTAATGTTATTCTCTCTGTCTCTCTCCTTTTTTTTAAATGTTTACTTATATTTGAGAGAAAGAGAGCACGAACAGAGGAGGGGCAGAGAGAGGGAGACACAGAATCCAAAGCAGGCTCCAGGCTCTGAGCTGTCAGCACAGAGCCCGATGTGGGGCTCGAACTCACCAACTGTGAGATCGTGACCTGAGCTGAAGCCGGACGCTTGACTGACTGAGCCACCCAGGCGCCCCTCCCAGCAAGTCTTGATGGTCTGTCTCCCATATACAGATGTCCAGAGTCTGACCACCCATCACCTCTTCAGCTCCCAGAACTCCCTTCATCTCTCACCTGGATTGTTGCCCCAGTCTCCTAATCATTTCCCCCACTTCTGTTCGTGCCCTCTGATACTCTGCTGTGCAGAATGGGTGGGTGAATCCAATCGTGTCAGTCCTCTGCTCAAAATCTTTGCGGGGGTGGGGGGTGGAACCTGGGTAGCTCAGTCAGTTAAGCGTCTGACTCTTGATTTCAGCTCAGGTCATGATCTCAAGGTTTGTGAGACCCATCCCCGTGTTGGGCTCTGTGCTAACAGCATAGAGCCTGCTTGGAATTCTATCTCCCTCTCTCTGCCCCTCTCCCGCGATGGCACTCTCTCTCAAAATAAATAAACATTAAAAACAAACAAAACCCAACAACCTTCTATGGGCCTGGCCCCTGACTTTCCTTCTGGAAGAACACTGCCCCCAGATTGCAAGCCCAGTCCCCTCCTGTTATTCAGGCCTCAGCTCACAGGTCCATCTCCTCAGGGAGCTCTTCCCTGACCTTCAATCTAATTTGTTTTCCTGCCCCCTGGTCTCTTTAGCATATCACCCAATTTTATTTCATGTCCTGCCAAGCACTTCTTGGCATTAGCATGTTTGTTTATTTATTAAATTGTCTCTTTTCTCTGAAATGTGAGTTTAGTAAGAACTGAGACTTTTATCTGTCTGGTTCACACCCCTGTCCCAGGACTTATAACAGGGCCAATCACAGGACTGCACAAGAGATATTTGCTCCTTGCCATTTAAAAGCAACAACTTGGGGCGCCTGGGTGGCTCAGTCGGTTGAGAGTCCGACTTCGCTCAGGTCACGATCTCACGGTCCGTGAGTTCGAGCCCCGCATCAGGCTTTGTGCTGACAGCTCAGAGCCTGGAGCCAGCTTCAGATTTTGTGTCTCCCTCTCTCTCTGGCCCTCCCCCCGTTCATGCTCTGTCTCTCTCTGTCTCAAAAATAAATAAATGTTAAAAAAAAAAATTTAAAAGCAACAACTTGCCATTAATAATAATAATAATAATAATAATAATAATAATAAAAGGGGGCGCCTGGGTGGCTCAGTCTGTTGAGCATCTGACTTCAGTTCAGGTCGTGATCTCACAGTTCATGACTTTGAGCCCCACATTGGGCTCTGTGCTGACAAGGTCAGAGCCTGGAACCTGCTTTGGATTCTGTGTCTCCCTCTCTGTCTCTGTTCCCCTCCAGCTTGCACTCTGTCTCTCAAAAATAAACATTAAAAAAAAATGTTTTTTATGTTTGTTTATTTTTGAGAGAAAGAGAGAGTATGTGTGTGTGTGAGCAAGGGGAGGAGCAGAGAGAGAGGGAGACACAGAATCCAAAGCAGGCTGTAGGCTCTGAGCTGTCAGCACAGACCCCAATGCAGGACTCCAACCCACAAACCAGAACATCATGATGTGAGCTGAAGTTGGATGCTTAACCCACGGAAACACCCAGGCACCACCCCCCTCCAAAAAAAATTTTTTTTTTAAAGTAACAACTTGCAAGATGTGATCTTTAATTGTTCGTTGAATTTATGGAGCAAACTCCAGTGGTATCCCTACATTTTTAATAACAAATGAACAAACACTGTCTACCATAGAGTGCCATGATTTATTTGATTAATCCCTCCTTGCTGGAAATTTCAGTCTTCCCAATGTTCTGCTCTTACATGCAGAGCTGGGATAAATATCCTTGTACAAGTGCATGTATCTTTGTGCTCATTTTTTATTTCCCTAAAATAACTTCTTAAAGTGAGAGTTATTGGGGGAAAGGGATTGAGCATCTGTAAGGTGGTCAAAACATTTTGTTAATTGGTTTCCAGAAAGAACAGCAACACAATAGTATCTCTTTTTATTGAACACCTGGCCAGCTTAAGATTTCTAACAATTTTGTAACTTGCTTCACATTTGTTCATTTTACCCTGGTCCCCTGTGGTTTGTTAGAGCTGAAACATACTTGAAATCCTCAAGAAGGAAAACACAAACACAAAAAAAGGGGGAGGGCCAGCTGTTCTCCAAACACTTGGGGGAAGGAAGCGAATATATACATACCGAGGTCCTACTGTGAGTTAAGTTCAAATTGGGTGCTTGATAGGGGCATCTCCTTTAATTCTGTGGAGTTAGGCATTAGAATCCCTAGTGTCTTGGCTTACTGTGCTCTGGCCCTGGACCTTTAGCTCTCCTCCACTGGAATGTAAGTCCCTGAGGACAGGGACACCTCTCTCTTACTTATGGGAGATTCACACAGTCTGTGACATGCGGCAGGTGCTCCATAAATATCTGTCGAATGGAGGATGAACTAAATTTGACGGTGATGGGGAGTCTGAGGGCTTGGGGGAGCAGTGGAGGATTGTGTTTTGGAGCATTTGTCGGAAGAATGCATGGTGCATGACTGGACCAGCTCTAGAAAAGCAAGATCAGTGGGCACCTGGGGAGCTGAGTAATAACCATCAGTACAGACTCCTACTGAGACTGTACCTCAGAAAATTGTACTAGGGAACCCTGTTTCCTGCTAGTTTATATTCGTTTATATGATTATTTCCTTGACATCATCCTCTGTATTACAGAGTGTCTTGTTTTGTTTTTAAATAACAAGAAGGTGTTATGAGTCTTGGTTTTACAAAATCCACTAGAGTTGCCCTCTTAGTTGGTGCCCCAGCACCGATGAGGCAGGTCATTGTCTCGGAGTCTTTGTGACCTGTTTTGGTTCTCCTGGGACACCTGGTATACAAAGTTGATCACTAGGGAGGAGGTGGATTCTTTGCATCAGTAACCTAGTGTAAAGAACCAGTATTCTCTTTAATTCCTTCTGCCCTAACATTTACAGCTGGAAACATTAATGTGGACTGTGGTAGCTTCAACAGAGGCCTAAAAGCAGGGGAGGGGACCATCCCAGGCTTGGAGAACCAGGCTTGGTATCAGGGTCCCTGAATCCCAGCTGAGTAGGTTTGATTTGGCAAGGCTGATGGCTAATGCTAGAAGCTCCTACAGCCCCCTGGCCCAGGGAGCAAAGTCCGGACCTCGGTGTTGAAGCCTGAGAGTACATGTACCAACCTCTGTACTTGATTTTGTAAGAGGCCATTGAGGAGATAGAAGTATGGCAGACCCTGTGGACAGCAGGGCTCTCCCCAGATAAACATGGAGGCTAGAAGGCTGGGCCTTTTGGACGGAGTGCTTGGAAAATTCTAAAAGAAGTAAAAACACCAAAGGGAAGATTTTATTTTCTGGATAGTAAGCCAGGTGGAGCTAATTACAAATACAAAAGCAAAAATTTACAAGATGTGACTTATAAATGTTTCCCAGATTTATGGATAAGACCATAATGGTTGCTCTTCTTCCCTCCCTCCCTCCCTTCCTACCTTTTCTTTCTTTTTTGTTAAAGCTTATTTATTTATTTTGAGAGAGAGGGAGAGAGAGAGAATCCCAAGCAGGCTCCCTGCTGTCAGCACAAGCCTGACACGGGGCTCGAATCTCACAAACCGTGAGATCATGACCTGAGCTGAAATCAAGAGAGGCTTTAACTGACTGAGCCACCCAGTTGCCCCTGCACTTTTATTTTATTTTTAAATGTTTATTTATTTATTTTGAGAAAGAGAGATAGAGAGCAAGCAGGGGAGGGAGACAGAGAATCCCAAGCAGGCTCTGTGGCTGTCAGTTCAGAGCCCGACTTGGGGGCTCGAACTCACAAACTGTGAGATCATGACCTGAGCCAAAACCAAGAGTCACTTAACTGACTGTGAGCCACCCAGACACCCCTGAACTTTATTTAAAATAAAGTTAATTTTTTAAAATAATGGCTACCTTCAACTGTTCTAAGGTCTACCCTGGAAAGGGAATGTTTGTCCACATTTGGACCCGAGTTTTACAGGCGACATTGACTGGCAGGGTCCAGCCATGGTGGTGGCTAATGGACCCATTCCTTCACTTATTAAACAAACATTTAATGATGTGTGTCAAGCAATTAACTAAGTGGTGGTGCACAGGACAACCCTAGTTCTTGCCCTGTGGAGCTTGCAGTCTGAGAAAGAAACAGATTAACTGAATAACTGCATGAGACAAAGTAAGTAGCTCTGAAGTTTATAGTAAAGGCATGTGACCTAGCCTGGTTGTGGTGGTTAGGAAAGCTTTCCCTAAATAGGTGACCCTGGACCATATTTAGGCAGAAAGGGAAGGGAGATCACTACAGACAAAAGGAATAGCCTCTGCAAAGATCCTGTGGTGGGAGGGAGTCTGGAAGAGTAAGCAAGACTCAAAGAAGGATAATGTGGCCAAGGCAGAGGAGCAAAGGGCAGAGTGGAGGAGGTGGAGTTGAGGAGTTGAGGGGCGCAGGGCCACACAAGGCGCCTCATAGGTCAGATTCAGGATCTTTGTCTTCCCTAGAGCAGTAAGAAACCTTTGAAAGCTTTAAGGAATTGGAGATGACATGGCCAGATTGTGTTTTGAACAGATTACTCTGCTTGTAGTGTCAAGAATAGATTGGAGCAGGGTTAGTGTGGAAGCAGAGACACAGACTGGAAGGCAACTCTAGTTGTTTATGCTAGAGATGGTAGTTTGGGCCAGCGTGGTGGTGCTGGAGACAGAGTGGAAAGCTTGCAGGAGTCCCTAGGAGAGCGAATTTACACGACTTGGGGAAGGATGGGATGTAGCTGCGTGGAGGGTGGAGAGGAGCAGTAATAAGAAAACCCCCGGGTTTCAGGTTTGTGGAAGAGGACCAACTGAGTGCCATCCACTGATACAGAGACAGGTGTCCCTCATCAGAGACAGGAAACTGCAGGGGAAGTTGAGGTTCGGAGATACAGAGTCAATACCCTTTGTATAGCTCTCTTCTACCTGGAAATTTTCCTTCAGGTGACTTGGAAGATTTGGTTTTGGTTTGAATGAAACTGTTCCCTTACCCCGGGGTTCTTTGAGCATAGTCTCTAGACCACTTATATTAGAATCAACTGAGACATTAATCAAGAATGCAGATTTCTGGGTGCCAGCATAAACCTCATGAACCCGAATCCCTGGAGCAGAGGCCAAGAAGTCTGTATTTTAACAAGATCACTAAGAGGTTGACTCCTATGCACGGTAAGGACTGAGAACAATCACCTTCTCTTTTTCTTCTCTGCTGTACTGTTCTCCCTGCCCACACCCTTCTGGGGCCAGCAGTAGCCATGAGACTATGTGCCCAAAGTTCTCAGTTCTGACCACTTGTCTTCTTGAACCTTCGAATTTAAGAAGACTTGTAAGACAAGGGGTTTTCTAAGGCAGTAAAAGAGAAGGCTAAAAAAGGAGCTGTTTGTATTAGCTGTAAACATACAAACAAGGTGCTGTATGTACAAGAAAGAAACAAGGTCTTCCCTCAAGAGGCTCCCACCCAGTGGGGGTGACAGACATGTAAACATTCAGAATACAATGCATATGTAGAACTTACTATGAGCCGGGCACTGTTTCTCTTCTTTTCTTTTCTTTTTTCTTTTCTTTTCTTTTTTAATTGTTTTTTTGTTTAACGTTTATTTATTTTTGAGAGACAGAGAGAGACAGTGTGAGTGGGGGAAAGGCAGAGAGAGAGGGAAACACAGAACCCGAAGCAGGCTCCAGACTCTGAGTTGTCAGCACAGAGCCTGCTGTGGGGCTCAAACCCACAAAGAGATCATGACCTGAGCTGAAGCCGGGCGCTCAACTGACTGATCCACCCAGGCACCCCAAGGAACTGTTTCGAATGCTTTATATTTACTAATTTATTTAATCCTTACAACAACCTTCCAAGATAGGTTCTGTGTGACAATGGTGGTGATAAAAAGACGTATTGAGGATCCCAAGAAGAGAACTATGATGGGCTTCATGGAGGTGGATGAACCACAAAAGATGAGAAAAAGTGAAGTCCAAGAGGCATGGAGGACAGAGGAATCATCCAGTATGCACCATGCACAGAAATGTAAGACAACACGGTATATTTGGAAAATGAAAACAATTTGATGAAGTCTGGCATATAGGTGCATAAGAGCAAAGTGGCAAGGAGTATGGATGAAGAGAAGTTTGGCCAGATCATTAAAAATCCTTTTGCCATATTTCAGAGCTTGGGCTTTCTTTTGAATGTAAGAGAGGGCTTTCAATTAGGAATGATATGATCAGTTTTGCATTTCACAAGATTCATGATGAAAGCAACGTGGAAAAGAAATTAGAAAGGAGTTGGACTGAAGATGAGAGGTTGGTGAGAGAAAAACTTGAAATAGGAAAGAGGGAGTGAGAATGAAAATGGGGGTGGGTTGGAAGTTTCCATAGGAAGTAGAATTGATTAGACTTGATGATGGATTGGATGTGGAGAGGAGGGAGGAATGAGTTAAGGGCTATGGTCTGGGTTTCTAACCCACAGGTGAGGAGAGGTGCCCTGCACAGAAATATAAAGCCCAGGAGGAAGAGCAGAATTTAAAAGGGAAGATAATGTCCAATGTTCTGTCCAGAAATCTCTGTGGATCACCTCAGCAGAATGAACTTGGGTGGCTCAAGGAGGGATCCTGCAGGTACTACCTCTAAGAGAGGAGATGGTCCAAGACAAGGGTAGTTCCACTAAATCCTTACAATGTAGTCAGGGAAGGTAATTCATTCAACCAACTTTTTTTTTTTTTTTAAGAAAAAATGTTAATGTTTATTTATTTTTGAGAGAAAGAGAGTGTGACGGGGAAGGGGCAGAGAGAGAGAGACAGATCCCAAGCAGGCTCCGTGCTGACAGCAGAGAGCCCAATATGGGGCTGGAACTCACAAACTGTGAGATTATGACCTGAGCAGAAGTCAGACGCTTAACGGAATGAGCCACCCAGGTGCATCTCATTCAACCAACATTTAAAGAATACAACCTGTGTGCCAGGTTCTGTACTTGGTGATGAAAATAAAGGAGAGGCACCAGGAAGAGTGACAAGGAGACAAGGAGACAGACAAGTAAGTCGATCACATTGAGGGGCTGACTGGAGTAAGCCAACAACAGAAATCCGAAAAAAGAAAACTAATTTTTCATTTATTTTAAAATTACAGGGTACAAAAAAAAAAAAAAAAAAAAAAAAAAAAAAAAAAAAAAAAGCACAGTCTGACCATCCAGAGAAAACCAAGTTAACAACCTGATGTATCTTTTCAAACTTTGTTCAGTACTTTATTTTTTAAAGACGGGCGCCCTCTCCTGTTTTGTGAAAGAAACAGTCGAATTTTTACTGGAGGTGGCTCGTCGCCGGGAAGGCTTTGCTGGCGCTGCTTTGAGGCCAGGATTTGAAGAATCGTATTTCAATGGAGAAGACGACGGGGAAGGGCAAGGCATGATCCTCGCTTTCCACACAACCAAGCCACGCCTTAGCGAAGGACGTGACTTTGTACGCTCCGCGAAGAAAGGCGGGGGTCCGGAGAGCCACGATCAGCTGTGGCACCGGACGGAGACAGCGGGGGCGGAAGGGACGCCCTATCTGTTGGGGCGTGGCCTTATGACGCGATGTCACGTCTCCCTGTCTGATGTCCTATTGGTTCTCCATTACCGCCCTTTTCCGGGGCCGATAGACTGGCCGCAGGGGCCGGAAGTGGGGTAGCCCTCGGCTGCAGGGGCGGCGGTGTGGAAAACAGCGAATCTGGTGCTATTGTAGCTGGCCAGCTTCTCCATTCAGGCTCCATCCCGAGTTGAAGACCTCCAGGATTCTGGTGACCTATGGAAGGGATCGGATCGTGAATTATCCGGCGCAGATCCAAATAGCCTAGCCGCTGAGAGGCACCGGAAGCTTCGCCTCTAGGAGGAGTGAAGAAGGCTCGCCTTGGAAGAAGGAACCCATAGGGACTGCCCCCGGGGCGGAGCCCGCCGACCATGGCCACGCCCCCGGGGGCCGGTCCCGCGGCTCTGCGCTTCGCAGCCGCGGCCACCTGGCAAGTGGTGCGGGGACGCCGCGTGGAGCATTTCCCCCGGGTATTAGAGTTTTTGCGATCACTGCGCGCTGCTGCCCCTGGCTTGGTTCGCTACCGCCACCATGAACGCCTGTGTATGGGCCTAAAGGCCAAGGTATTGGAGCCATTAGGAACTGGAAGACGGGAAAGGGGCGGGATGCGAGGGGACCAGACAGGGCCGACTGCTTGGCGTTGGGACTGGTTGGAAAAGGGCAGCTTGCCCTGAGATTCTGAGTTTAGTACCCTTCACAGGTAGTAGTGGAGCTGATCTTGCAGGGCCGGCCGTGGGCCCAAGTTCTGAATGCCCTACATCACCACTTCCCAGAGTCTGGACCTGTAGTGCGGGACCCGAAAGCTGTGAGTAATCCCTGGTACGAGCCCTTTCCCGTTAACACGGTGCCACAAAGTGGCTTCTCCCGGCCACTGGATCCTGGTGACCCTAAGTTTTCTGCTTTTCCTTATCCTCAACAGACAAAGCAGGATCTGAGGAAGATCTCAGAGGCACAGAAAACCTTTTGCCAACAGGTGAAGCAACTAGCAGAGACCCCAGTGGACTTGGCTTCCAAGCTGCAGGTGAGACTGGCTGGTTTGGAAGCTGTTATGTGGCTAATTTCCCTAGCCCTCTTCTGACTTGCTTCTCTCCTCACTGCAGGAACTTGAACAAGAGTATGGGGAACCCTTTTTGGCTGCCATGGAAAAGCTGTTTTTTGAATACCTGTGTCAGCTGGAAAAAGCACTGCCTGCATTGCAGGCACAGCAGGTTTTGTTGGGGCCAAATAAGGGCAGAGTGTGGGATGGTTGTATCAAGGACTGTGGTCTTCATGCCTCTCACCCTCTGCCCACAGCTTCAAGATGTGCTGAGCTGGATGCAGCCTGGAGTTTCTATCACTTCTTCTTTTGCCTTGAGCCAATATGGTGTGGACATGGGGTGGCCACTTCCAGGTACTAGGACCATCTGGGAGAACTAGGAACTTGGGGGTAGACTGTTTGGCCGGAGACCTTTTGAGATGGGCTATTTGAAGGGTTACATGGGCCTGAGGCATAAGAAACCAGATGGAGCTGTGTTAGTATCTCTTATTTATAAGGAGCTTCATTTTCTTTTTCAGAGCGCTTGGTTACTGATTCAGTGAGCGTGACAGAGCCCATGGAGCAGAGTCCTCCTCAGCAACCAAAGCTAGTACTTCATGATCCATCGCCAAAAGCCAGGCCTAGCTCATACCTTTCTCGGGGACTAGCCTCAAGGAAGAACCCAGAACCTTTGGCTGGCCACCACTTCAATCTGGCCCCTCTAGGCCGGCGAAGAATCCAGTCCCGATGGGCAACCACTAAGGGAGACCATAAGGAGCGCCCTACAGTCATGCTGTTCCCCTTTAGGAATCTGGGTTCACCAAGCCAGATCATATCTGAGCCTGAGAGCAGGGAAGAACGTGAAACACACACGGCAGATCTGGCAGGTGCTGCGGGCATGAGAGCAGTTTCCACTGGAAAGTCTAAGAGTCCATCCCAGACCCTGGGGGGAAGAGCTCTGAAGGAGAACCCAGTTGACTTGTTTGCTTCAGAGAAAGAAGAGTGAGTGGAACAGTTGCTTCTCCCTGCAAACAGCCCATTCTTTGCCTGTTTTCCCGTTACCTTATCTTCTTTGCTTGCTCCCACTTCAGGAATTGCTTGGTTTGCCCCATGGACCCCCTGAGACTGTCATTATCACCTCCTAAGGCTAGGAAGCCAGGTAAGTGTCTTGGGTCAGGAGCCAGCCTCCTCTCCTGGGGATTCTTCAGGGCCTGTTCACCTAGAAGGGTACTTTGACTCTGGTTTCCTTCTTGCAGTGTGTCCCCCATCTCTGTGCAGCTCTGTCATTACCATAGGGGACTTGGTTTTGGACTCTGATGAAGAAGAAAATGACCAGAGGGAAGGAAGGGTGAGTAGGAAGGAACAGAAAGCTGGGGAAGAGGATGAGCAGAACAAGACAGAAACCCCACATGCTCCAGAATATGGAGGGCTCAGGGAATAAGACGATGATAGGATCTCCCTGCTCCCTTCTCTGCAGGAGTCTCTGGAAAACTATCAGAAGACAAAGTTTGACACCTTGATCCCCACCTTCTATGAATACCTCCCTACTTCTGGCCCCAGTGCTGTGTCTGTCCCTTCCATGACCATGCAGACAGGTCTAGACACTTATGATAGGACTGGAATTCTCTCTGCACTCCACCTGTCTCCCTGAGCTCTACACACAGTTTAGTGGAAATAAAGTGGAAGCCCAGGTTTGGGTTCCCTGACTGCCTTGCTAAAATTACTTTGTAATACTTGTTAATTAAGATTTGGATTTATTAAAATACTGTCTTGGTGTGAGAAAGGGGAATTAAGGCTTCTATAAAGTCAGTGTAGGTCATTCCTTAGAACTGGCTTCTCCAGGGCTGGAGGAATTCCTTTGCCTTTTTATTTCCGATGGAAAATGTTGTTCAGATGTGCCAAGAAGGGTTGATAGCCTGGAAGAGCAATTTCCCTTTGCTATTCTAAAAATATCTATGTGCCCTGATTCCAGAATGTACTTTGTAAATTCTCATGCTGCCAGGTTACCTGGGGGTGGTGGCACTGAAATGGAGATACTTCATGGAAAAATACTGTCTTTGACTCTACTGGGTCAGTGCCAACTCCACTTCCACTTGTCCCGGAGCAGCACCCAGATGCCAGCCTTGTGCAGAAAGATACAGAATCTCTTATAGTCATTGGGATCTCTTTATTGAGATACTTAAAATACATCAACATTTCTGAGCTTTTTAGGTGTTCAAAGATACTATTTAATGAAGTTCATTAACAAAACATGATATCAGGAGAGTAACTCGTCCAGACCAAGGCCATATTAAACACTTAGGCAGGAGTCATTATCTTTTCCTTTCCATAATCTTCCAGATGCTGCGTCCCCAGATTTGCATTTGATTACCTTACTTCATTTTCTCAGCCTGCTTTCCTTGCTTCCTCCCCAGTGAGTACCCTGGGCATTTTGTGCGTACAGAGTACAGATTTATTGCAGAAGCCCTCAGGAGTAAGGCAACAGGAAATAACCGAGTGATAAATAGCCATAGTAGCTGGCGTGTGTGAGGAGCCCATCGTGAGGCCCTGTGCTAGACTGCTAGTGCTTTGAGAGGGCACAGCTGCTCAGGTCTAGCTGTCATCACTGAAGATTGGATTCACCTGCTGGGTGACACGGATAAAGGTGGTTCTCCGGCTCAACTCCTTCAGTTTAGCTGCTCCCACGTAGGTACATGTGGAACGGATGCCTCCAAGGAGGTCTCGGATGGTATGGTCCACATCCCCTTTAAAGGGCACCTCCACTGTCTTTCCCTCTGAGGCCCTTAGAGGAGGAAAAACTTTCTAACCTTTTCTTTTTGGATTTCTTAAGCCCGACAGCACCTCCCCAGTCTCTAGCATTGAGCCCCAGTTCACCACTTTTCCTCCAAGAATGTACCAAGCATTTCCCAGCAGCCAGAGTTCTGCCACCACCCTGCTTAGTCACAATTTCCAGGAACCCTCAGCTCCTGGACCTCTGCACATACCTGTATTCAGCCACGCCCCCAGCATACTTCTTCATGGCCATTTCAGAACTCATCCCATAGAAGAGCTTGTACTTCTTGCCATCCCTCTCGATGAGCTCACCACCTGACTCATTGTGCCCAGCCAGCATGCCACCCAGCATCACAAAGTCAGCTCCTGCCCCTGCCAGCATCAACAAGGGGAAAAGAGAATTGAATCTGGCCCACGCGCCCATATGCCCACCCCTGGAAGCAACTCATGCCAAATTCTCAGTCCTGACGATTCTAACATCTTCCTGGTTTTGTTTCCCTAGCTGACCCACAACCCACACAGGCCTGCTCTGCTCTGGCCTCTACTCCTCAGTGAGCCTGATTTCCCCAAGAATTTAAAAAGAGCCTCTGGAGATTCCTTGCCTGGGTTTTGCTTTTTTTTTTTTTTTGCTGCTTTTACCATCTGGTCATTTCTTTGTACTATGTGCAGCTAAACAAGAGACTCCAAGTGTCGTAGGGGCAAAGGTCTCTAACTTTAGTCCAACAGTCTGAGGGATGCTACAGATGGAGCTGGCATTCTGTGCAGTCTGTATCAGAGTCTCAGTGTTTCCCCTGCTGGCTTGCCCCAGGTGACACCACGGGCTTCAGGGTCATTAGTTCATATTGTCAAAAAATCTGAACGGCTTTCTCAGCCTTTCCAAGCCTGATCCTTGGCCCTCAGAGGTGACTTATCCTCTTCTACAGGACCCTCCGTCCACACTCTCCCAGCACCCTTACCGAAAGCCTTGGCCACATCCCCTGGACAGCTGCAGCCTCCATCCTGCAAAGTGAAGAGCACTGTGAAGAGATAACGTGGATTTCCCAAGTACTAGGAGCGGTGTCCCCATGGCCCACCTCAAAGCTGATGGGAACCCGGGAGTTCTGATCCACTGCTACCACAGCCTCCACACCCAGAACACTCAGCTGTCTGGCAGCCTCATTCCCTCCCCTGCCCGTGGCCTTACTGAAATGATGTGGCCTTTGAGGCCATGAGCAGCATCTGCACACTCCATCACTGCACTGAGCTGTGGATACCCCACTCCAGTTTTCTTCCGAGTGGTGCACACGGAACCTGAGAAGAACATAATGAAAAGAGTAGCGTGCTCCACAGGCGTTCGCCACTGGAGAGGTAGCCAGTGGCCCCCCGTAAACCAACTTACCTGGTCCTATTCCTACTTTGATGATGTCAGCCCCAGAGAGGATCAGCTCTTCCACCATCTCTCCTGTTACCACATTCCCTGCCTGAGACAGAGCAATCAAAACAGAGCACTCTTGGGGTTGGAAACGAGAGGAGGCTGCGCGCTTTCATATACGGTATGCCTGGACCATGACCTTCCAACAGTATTACAAAGAGGGTACCTAGGGTCCCTCTACTGGGAACGAACTCTGCTTCCCAAGCTGAGGTAAGGAGGTGAGTGGCCAGTGGCGCTGTTGCACTAGGGTGAAGTTGGGGTACAACTGGACCAAGGCCAAAGCTGATTTACAGTAGATTTATCTCCCCGTCCCTGCCAAGAGACCCAAACATAACTTGTCCTTCATCTGTTACATCATAAAATCTCTGGCTTCAGGCAAAGGGGAAAACGTGGTAATATAAGCTAAATACCCATTTGCACAGCTCTATTTATTTTTGGTGGACGGTACAGAGAGACCCCTTGATGCTGTGGAGAAAATAAGGCCTTATCACTCCCCAAAGCTTGTAAAAAAAAAAAAATAAAACTTATTTTCATGCGACTCCTTTAATACGATTCTAGTACGTGTCCACTTCAGTGGACACCATAGGTGGGCACAAGGCATGTGAAAAGGGACAGAGATAACTGCACTAACCAATCTATACATTTTAAGTGTGGGACCATGGATGATCACCCAGAGCCATGATTAAGCGGTCTAGGAAAATCAAAATGCAACGGAGGAGAAATGATGTAACAAAATGGGAGTGTCAGGAAAGAGTGGGAGGAAGAGGAACATACCAACTACAGAGTAATAGAAACATACCATAATAGTGTGTTTGGGGAAGCGCTTCCGTACATCCTTTACAAACTCCACAAAGTGCTCAGAGTAGCCATTTGCCACGTCCAGGCATATATATTTCACTTGGGGAACAGCTTCCAGGATCTGTTCCAGTTGCTCACAGTCAGAAGAGCCCATGCCTGAGCTGGCAGCCAAATGCTGTGAGAGAAACAGAGCCATTGGCATGGGAGGCATGAGACAGTCTGTGGCATGTCACAAAAGACCCAGTGAGGAGCCGGCAGGCTGGGAAGGTGAGGGTTAGTCCTCAGAAAGCCAAACAGAGATTCCTAGAAGGGCTCCTGGGTGGCTCAGTCGGTTAAATGTCCAACTCTTGATTTTGGCTCGGGTCATGATCTCACGGTTTGTGAGATCAAGCCCCACGTTGGGCCCTGCATTGACAGCATGGAGCCTGCTTGGGATTCTCTCTCTCTCTCTGTCCCTCCCCGACTCATGCACACCCATGTGCTCTTTCTCTCAAACAAACAAACAAAAGATTCCTGGAAAACTGGGATGAAGAAGGGACCAGGAAAAGACTAAGATTACCTGAAGACAGTCAGGATTCTGGCTAGCAAAGTCTTTCCATTGCTCGAGGCTGTAGTGTTTATGGACAGCTGTGAAGAGGGAGAACTGGGGAAAAGAAAGAGTCATCAAAAAGGAGAGAACTAGCAACTCTTTTTCTAGACATAGACCTTTATAGTAAGTATTCTTTCTGAGGAAGAAAATGAACTTTGGAAAGCAACTTGAAGAAGCCACTGGTTGAGCTGGGTTTAGTTTAGCCCTTATTCTCCCTATAAATAACCAGTAGGGCATTTTGTCATAAGCTAGTGCTTGTCCGACACCCTGACCCAAGTACTAAGTCATCTGGACTGGATTTCACCTGTCAGAAGATACAGGGGCTTCTGACTTAAAAGGTGACAGAGACGAGCTGTTGCTGCAGTGGAACAAGCAGCAGACAAGAACATAACCATGAAGAGGGTGGACGGAGCCAGTGTCTGCCTGCACAGACTCAGCCCCTCCTCCTATGGTAACCCAGTACTGAATTAACCTAGTTTTTGGTATCTTCTGGTCCAATAATTCAGTGAGTCTAAATGTTCACAAGAGGTCAGACCTTAATGGAGCCAGTAAAGTGCTACCCCATTCTTTCTCCATCTCCACTGGAGTAAAGGACAAATTTTCTGGAGACATGGACCAACCTAAAAAGTCTATTTCATTCCATCTATTTCGGTCAACCAAGTTTAAGGATACAATTAACTCCTCAGACTTGTATTCCCTAGGTCATCAAATTGCAAACAATATCCCAATGCTTTGAGAAAGGCATTCAAAGACAGCTGTGAATACTGGTACTTGTGCTTTAAAAGTCCAGACATGCAAATAGACAAGAGAGCAGCTGACAGAGACAACCCAAATCTTGCAACTGATAAGAAATCCAAGGAAGTCCTGTATCAGCCAGCAGTAAGGACATCTTATTGCTATACTTAACTCATCAACACTACCTCGCTAAAGCTGGTATTGAATTCCGCTTTCTCAGCAACACTCTGCTATCCACATGCTGATACATAAAGAAAAATCACCCTAGAAGGTCAGTAGACCTTGGAGATATACTGATATAGTGTGACATGATGAGCACATCCAATTATGTACCGAGCTAGAGATC